TGAAAACAGGCATTTCTGGTCACAGGAGTTTGGTTTGGCAGTGCCTGAGGCTGTGCAGAGTTGGAGCAGCACCATGCACTTAGGTGGCATTGTTCTGCAGGGCTGACATGGAATGTCAAACATTAGCATTTCAAAAGCCTTTCAGACCTAAGCCCTAATTGTCAAAAAAACATTATTTCTTGCTTGGAAAATGTTTACAGAGCCATAGAGTACTAATGAATGGTTTATTTCCAGGCTTCTCTTTTAAGCAGGAGCCTTGCCTTTCTTGCTGTGAGCTCTTCTCAGGAGTTGTCAGCTACACCAAGACCCGCCTGTCACACCGAGAGTAAGCCAAGTAGTATAACTAAGAGCAGTGTTATGATGGTGATGATGATAGTTTTCACCAAAAGTCTCACTAAAGGGTTAGGAGCATCATCAATGACAAGATGACTGAAGAAAGCTGTAATTTTTGAATAGGAATTCACATGTGAATTGAGGAATGGATCTGTGTAAGACTTGACTTTACTTCAGAATATGTATTAATAATGTGAAATTTCTCTCAGACTAAACTTAAGGGAGTTCTTCTTGGGGACAGAAAGCTTATCTCACTAGCCATGTAACCATAAAAAATGAATAAACACCCCTGTGCTGAATGACCCAGCAAGGAAGGAGAAAAAGATGCTTTTGCTATTTCTCAGTACCCAGATCTTTGTAAGAGGTGTGAGTGCAGCTTAGGCTGAGGTTTGGGAGCTTACCTCATTGCTACAAGAGAAATGTGGAAAAGAGCAGCAAAGGGACTGCGTTTTGGGAAGGAAGTGAAGTTGCAGCTAAATAAAAAGGAGTTTTCCAGTTGCTGGCTGTAGCTGCTGCAGCCAATTGCTGACAACACCATACCTCCAGGGGTTTGGCGTCTTTAAATATGTCACTGTACTGGTCTTAACTGGAGGACTGCTGTGGACAGAGGAGCAACCGTGGTGTGTGGCTGGGCTGCATGAACCCCTGACCCCAGGATAACCTTTGCTGGCTGATTGTGTGGAGGACCGTAGGCAGTCCCAGCAGGCACCTGGAGATGGTGCCACCAGTGTGTCCTCACCTTTACCTTGAAGTGAAGCATCATGTCTTCATACAGACATTCTTTTGCTCATGGTAGCAATGACGAGTTGAATTGTTTGCACCTCAGAAAATCGTTATGCTGGTGAGCCCCAGCAAGGATGGGATCTGCACTGTGTCGTGCTCTGGCTAGAGTTCCAGCCAGTGCTGCATTGCATGGCATCCTCTGCATCTGGAAGGATATGATATTGTCTATGGTCCCTTTTTTTTTCCTTATTACCTTACCTCTCTCCAGTAAAAGGCATTTTAATTAAATACCTTACAGGGTTGATTGCTTTTCTTACTGGGAGCTACAACAGCTAGCACTGCTGCATCGCATTCATGAACAATTAGCCACTTGCATACTTAACCCATCTACTGCGCTTTACTTGGGCATGATGGCTTCTGTGTGGACATCTCAGGAGAGTGATATTTGTCCCCAACAAGTCCCCAGGCTGGGAAGCCAAGGAACTGATGCTTACTGGCGTGTTTGTGCTCAGCTTGTATTTGAGCTGGAAAAGGGTCTCCCTTTGGGTTTCTGGCTGTCAGTCAAGCAAAGGAAGGATAACATCATAGAATTTCTCATCCACAACATTTCTGTTTACACATTGGCTCAAAGAAGAGGAAGATGGGAGCAGCCGATATGGTTTATCAAAGGGAGCTGTCCCTCACTGGCTGCCTGACCCTCAACAAACTGTCATCTGTCTGGGTCTAATCTGACCTTTCTAGATATGCAAATAATACATCCACCTCAGGCCCAGTGTTCACAGGTTTGATTTTCATGGGCAGTCAGCTTCTGCTGCTCTCAGTTTTTGCCCTGCATTTTCTCGCACATGTAAGAACAGATCTATGAGAGTGTTCATTTACTGGGGACTGGCTCTGTAATTTAGTCTGTTTTCTCCTTGGGAAAAAAACACTTTACAGATTAACAATCATGTTAACAGCTTCTGTTGTGTATATAAAAGTACATCACTCTTGTGGCTTCATAATTCTACCATAATACCCGTATTCTGCCAGACATGAATAGCAGACTTTGATGCTGATTTGTTTAGATTTTTCTGAAATTGAATTTCTTGCTCATGAGAAAAAAGGAAGTGTATTTTTTCCTACACCAGATCAGAATCAAATGCCTGTATTTCTCTAGATCTAGCTGATGGAGCAAGCCCTCATTCTTCCAGCCTGTTTCAGTTCTGTGGTTGATTTTGGGAGCATTCCTACCACAAGACAGCACTCAGAAAAACAACATTTTCTGAAGTAGGTTGTGGGTGGGTGGTGATGGGAGGATGAAATGCAGGAGCTCCCCAGGGTTTGCTGTGCAGGTGTGGATAGAACCCAAGGCAGCAGAGTGGGAAGGATGGATGCCCTCCCAGCACAGAGCTCTGCTCTGCTGTGGACAGCTTGAAAAGCAGTGAAGAAGAAGGGATCTGGGCAGGGACATCAGCACTGGAGAAAGCCCTAGGTGCTGTAGATGATGGAATGGCAGTCCTGTACTGAAAAAGCTGTTCTGAACTATTTATCCTGAGAAAACTGGCGATGTTAAACCATTCAGCCATCTCCATGCAATGTAGTCCATTTATCTTTAATACAGCCTCCCTGTTCTGTAGTCAAAAAAGACGACAAGGGAGGCTGCCAGCTTTTCCTGCCTTCCACCAGCACCAGCTGTGACCTGGATAACCCACAGGTGTAACAACATTCACCCCAAACTGGTACTTCATTGCTATTCTAAATACTGCTCTTGTGGAGGAAGTTAACAAGAACCTCTTACACGGGAGCTCTTCGCATTGATATCCCTGTTGTATGTACCCATGCTCCTGAAGCCTTTGGGTGTACACCAGGGTGCAGTACCCTCCCTCCACAACGTGTGGGATAGGCTCCAAGCCCTGAGGAAGGCAATGCCTGTCCCCAGAGGAGTGCTTCTGCCCACAGACTGCAAATCCAGCCCCTCTGATGCCTCTCTTCCAACAGCAGGGCCAGGCATCCTGAACTGTAAGTCCATTTGTAGATCCCGTGCTTCTGTGCTCTTGGGCATGGCTTGATGCTGCAGCTTTTAGTCACATAATAAACCCCACTCTCTTCAGCATGAAGTATCCTAGAGTGCTGATTGAAAGCTAAATAATCTGATGGAAAGACTTTTAAAGGCCTTCTTAAGGTATTTTTATGTCTTAGCACATCCTGATAGATGTGATGCTGTATAATTCAGGGCTTTGAGCAACCTGGTCCAGTGGAAGGTGCCCCTGCTTGTGGCAGGGGGCTTGGAATGAGATTGTCTTTAAGGTCCCTTCCAACCCAAACCATTCTATGATTCTACAGAAATCCTAGAAATATAGTTTACCTATAGGTCTCAAACCTGCTACCACCAGAATTACACCTGCCATTTGAGCTGCTTCTGGGCTGTAGGTAACCAGGTTTCTGGGCTGCTATACCTTTCTGAACCATTCTAAGTGCTTCTGCATTTATTTACAAGTGGGTCCTTCTCAATGTGATGGAGGCAAGGTACCCCTGTCCATGCAAACACCATGACAGCTGTGAAGAGAATGAAAGGCAAAGTCAGTAGGACTGCAAAGTATTTTTATGAAACAAATTGATCTTTCGGTGAAAATACATGCATGGGTACCCACACATACGTCCAAAGGCACAAACTTGTAATTCTAAATTTGCCAGTGGTTCTTTTTGTGGAGGAGGTTCCCATGGTGCTGGTGCTCATGAGGAAGCCTTTCCTTGTGTTCCCCTATACCCAGGTAATGTCAGGCTGTTTCATGCCCCTGTCACCCCATTTTGGACAAGCAGGATGCTGCCTGCTTGCCCCCAGCCTGGTGGTGTACCCATGTATCATCCTGCCCCCACCAGCTCTGTGTTCCAAGAGCTGCCAGAGACAGGGAGGTGCCAGAGAGGAGACTGTAGCCAGCACTGCTCAAGAGTTTGGTCCTGGCCACTGATCGTCCTTTCCTTTCCACTTCTTTTCCCATACTGATTTGTTTTCTTTTTTGCAAGGGCTGCAATATGGAAATGTAATGCTCAACGATGGGCAGCATTTGCTAAATGTTGGTGATGAGGAACGGGAGGAGGTTATGGATCCCTGAGCATCTGTTGCTGGAAATGTGTTTGCTTGCTCCTTCTTCTGCTTGTTTTCCCTTTCTGATCCCTTTCAGGTATTGTCCATGGATAACGTAAGCTTGAACTTTGTCTGAAACCACAGCCACTGCCCACTGCTGCCCTGTGAGCATGGCAGTGAGGCAGAAGACTGTGTGAGATGAGTTGGAGGAGGTATGCCTGACCTTCAGATATTTTCTGGGATGTTCAGTTATTGCTAGTTCCTTTCCGATTCTCCTCTCTTCACAATGATGATCCTCAGTGTCCTGGCTTCAGCAGTAGCAGTCTTTTTTTTCTCCTTCTTAGTAGCTGGTGCAGTGCTGTGTTTTTGACTTTCAGCCTGGGAGCAGCACTGATAACACCTATGTTTTTAGTTGCTGCTCAGTAATGTTTAGTCTGACCAAGGACTTTGTGAGCCTCATGATCTGCCAGGGAGGAGGGGAAGCTGGCAGGAAGCAGAGACAGGACACCTGACCCAAACTGACCAAAGAGGTATTCCATACCACAGCACGTCATGCCCAGGATGTAACTGAGAGTTAGCCGGAAGGGCTAGATCACTGCGGGGACCTGGGTATTATCAGTCAGCAGGTGGTGAGCAGTTGTATTCTCTTCACTTATTATTTCCTTTATCATTATTATTATTGTTGGTAGTAGCAGTAGTGATTTGTGTTATACCTTAGTTATTAAACTGTTCTTATCTCAACCCATGGGAGTTACATTCTATCAATTCTCTTTGCCATCCCTCCGGGAGCAGGGGGAAGAAAGGGTGGGGGTGGGGGCATGGGGTAGGGTAGACTGTGTGGTCCTGATTTATGGCCTGGGTTTAAACCAGTACACTCAGGTAAATGAAAGTGCCATCACAGACATGATAGAAATGATCTTAGCTTCTCAGGCTGTTAAGTGAGAAATCAGCTCGATGAGGACTATTGAAGTACATGAAGCCAAGGGCTCCTCCTGCCCACACATGCTTCTGCTCAGCCTCCTTTCTTCTGTCCTGAAGGCAGCAATGTTGCTTCCCATTTGTTGCACACTATTTTTAGGAATGCAGCTTTTTAAATGAAGGAAAAAAAAAACAAACAAAAAAAAAAGAAAAAAATCCATTTAGCTATTATAGTTTGCCATAGTGGTGCATTTTTATATTATTCCACCAACAAACCTAAGGCTGTAAACGAGCCTTTTCTTCTCCTTTGGTGGGATTTCGAAGTATGGTGATATGCATTACTTGGAAGTGAGGCACTGTTTATCTTGACCTAGAAGGATTTGCCATACAGAAGCATCACTCGAGCTGCCCTCAGACATGGGTAGGAGACAGGGATAGCGGAGCCCTTAGCATTGGGCTTAGTCTGGGAAGGCTTGGTCGCACCTCCCCACCATGCTGTGGAAGCCCTTTGGGCAGGAACACTGGTCCTCTGCCAACCCTGCCTGCCTGCTGCCTGCTGCTATGACAAAGGTCCTTACTGTCCCTACAGCTCCTGCTCTACCTGCTGCAGGCACGTTGGAGCAGAGGGGCTCAGTCAAAAGCACTGCACTCCCATAGTGGGCCAGGATCACATCCATCCTTGCCAGAGCCTGTGGAGACACTGTTGGGGTAAGTGCCAAGCCCAGCTCCATGTAGGGAAAAGATCCTGTTTTGTGTTCCCAGGCAGGACAGCCCACTCCTCTGAGCACGGACCACCAACCCAGGTGGCTCTTGCCTCCCCATCACCCTCAGCAGTGACAATCAGTCTCTGCAGCTCTCTGCCATGGAAATGTACATGTTTTTGCACCACCCCCCCCCGATTTGTATGAGAACCCAGACTCAAGCAGCTTCTGTAGCAGTTTTGTCTTTGCTGAAATTAAATTCAAGAGTAGAAAGATAAAGGCAATGTTTGAGGAGAGGGACCGATGAAGCAATTGGTCCCCATGGCTGACATGCTATAGATCTCGTGGAGAAAGATGTTCAGAAACAAGATTCTTGGAAAGAGAGGAAAATATGAAAGTAAATAGGGAAACTAACTTTAGGGACCTGTGGGCTTTGTCTGTGTTTTTCTACTTGATTTTGTTTTCCTAAATTTCTAGGATACAAAGAGCTAAGAAATAGGAAAAAAGTGACTGAATAAAGATATGGAGGTAATTCAAGACTGCACCACCAAAAAAATGTCTACTATGTGCCTCAGTTGTTCTTTACTTCTTATGAAATGCACCGCAGTTATAATAAACACATTGCAAAATGCCTGTTAGGTTATAAGTATGTGGTAGCTTTCAATAATGCTCTTTGTGTTATGTCAAGATAGCACAGTAAATAACTTACATTTGTATAGTGTTTATGCAGTTGCTAAAAGTGTTCAGAGATACGTTATATGAAAGTAAAAGTATTAAATGAAGAGGAAAAGTAATTCCAGAGCAAACTATACCATGATAAAGAGAATCAAGGTTTCAGTAATAATACTTGATGAAATCAGAAGACAAGTGTGCTCATGTGTGAAAGATACAGAGAGAGCTGGAGAAAGCAAGCCTAAATACCGTTATTTTGTCTCATCCCTCAGAATTTCAGGAAGAAAGGAAGCTGTTGGATTCGTGTCCCCAGGCTGCGGAAAGGGAGGTTGGGTGCTGTGGCATGTGCAGGAGTGTTTATTGCAGGAAGATACCTGCCAAGTTAATTACAAAGATGGGGTCTCCCTCCTCCATGCCAATGGCTGGTCCCTGGCCTCAGAGCTGCTCTGGCCCTCACTGCCCTGGCTGTGCTGACCAAAGGAAGCCCTGCCATGTGTGCAGATCAGTTGTGTTCATAAGCAGTCAGAGGTTATTTCTGCAGGGAAGACAGATTATTAAACCTCAGCTGGTATTCACTGTGGTCCCTTTCTTTCATCAACTCTCCTCTCCAATATTGTATTTCTTATTCTTTTGGGAAAATGGTGCACTATTTAATAAGAAGAACAGGTTGCTCCAGTACACCTGAGTATTGATGATTGACTCTCAGGCTTTTTTTAATAATTCAACTGCAAGATAGGCCCTGTGTATCCAAAGCACGCCTGAAGAGTGCCCCAGAGAAGAAAACTGAGTTTAAAGATTTTCCTGTTGGGTGCTGGGTGGTGAGATACTCCTTCTAACCCAGCTGGGAGCAAACCCGCCTGCCTGTCACAGAAAGAGGTGGCTCCACCTGAGTCTCAGATCATTTACTGACCAAAAGCTAAACCAGGAAAACAACCCATAGCAAGTGAGCAATAATAACCAACACACTCACTGCAGTGTGGCAAGGACAAAGACAGACCTGAAGGATAGCTTTGAGCAGAGTGTGGACAGTTTTGTGTGTGGACCATATTTATCACCTTGTGTTTGAATCTGACTCCTCCAGAGACAGCAGATTTTCTCCAGGACTTGATTCTAAGCTGTGTTTAGCAGAGTCGTGTGAAACCTTAGCAAGCTAATGCTAGCAGGAGAAACCAATCACTCCTGCCAGTGTTCTGTCTTTGCCAACTTGTGGGTTGGTTGCTGTTGAGCTAATCCAGATACAGAGGAGAAAAAGAGCACAGCAAGGCTCTACTAACATCTCCTAGTGGTACTTTTCTAGAGGAGCTGCCCAAGGAACAACTGAACCCATGAGGCATGTCTGGCAAATGGCACCCTTATTAGTAACTTCCTCCTTGTATGTTAGGCCAGCAGCATCTCCTGAATGTTGCTCCAAAAGCAGGAGACGATGATCCTCCACAACACTGACAGAGTTGTGAATGCTCTCTGCAGCTACAGCTGCAACCCACTCTCCTGCCCCTTGAAGAAAAACATTGTCCTGTTGCTCTTCTCCTGTCTGCTCTTGAGTACATCTGCTGATGGTGCATGTTTCCTGTTGCTCCAGAAGTGGCTGTTTTAATATAGGTTTTCAAGACTCTTCTATAAAAAGACAAGGTTTCTGCTGACTTGTGCATTTTGCACTCATGTGTTTGCATGAATTTTGCACGCAAGGCAGCGCTGCGAACTAGAATAAAACAAGGGAAAAGGATGGCCTACAGGCCAGGGTCTGGTTAATCCCATCAAGTACATAGAAGCAATCTTCATATTGGCTTAGGGGAGCTAACACATGCTGGTAACTGAGGGAATAAGCAATCTGCAGGCAACACATGAAGAAAACAAGGATGGATGTTTCAAAAATGCAATGGAGAGGATACATCCTGAAGGATTAAGGGAAAATGATTGTTTTATCTTTTCTGACATTAACAGCACAAGCATACACACATGCACCAAATCCATTAGCTAGCTGGAATTTATTTCTCATCCTTGTTTTTCTACAGGTGTTGAGTCTCTTCCCAGGTTCTATTAAGTCCCTGGCAAAATTTCTCTCGAGTTCAGCAATAAATTAGACCCTTTATGAATTACATACCTCTGATGCCTCCTCAGAGAAATAAAACATTAGCAGGATACAGTGCTGTGTTTGTGCAGCCAGGAACTCTGAGAACCATTCACTCCATCATCACTTCAGGTGCCAAAATACACCCAATTATCAGTATCAGGATACGTAAATCACCCAAACCAGGTGTATTCTTGCTCTTTTCATTCTAATATTTTAAACCTCAGTTTAATGTACTGTTTCTAGCTATGTAGAAAGAACAAGGTTATAGCAAATCCAAAATACAGTTATTTGTAGCAAAGATTCATACAGTTTAGAAGGCATTACAATGTTGGTGTTTTGTTTTTTTTCTTTACAGTGATGTTTTTTGCATTGACATTGCACTCAGACCATTTAAAAAGATGACAGCCTGAAAGTATATACATTCTGGGAGTCAACTGAACTGTTCACTGTGAGATATTACACAGCCTACTAAATGGCCATTTATATGTTTTCTTCTGTTTGTCCAGAAATAGAGATTAGTTATGGCCCCATTAAAGACTTATATTTTCTGATGAGAGAAACTAAAAGGTAACAGCTCTGGAGCAGCTTCTGTCAGGGAAAGGGAAGACTGAAGGAGACTAAGTTTCTGAATTGTTTCAAGGAGCTCTTAAGAACTCAATTGACCCTTTATGTGCTGATGCCCATCTTCATCCCTGTTAAGTCCTGTATCTTTTGTGCCTCTACAGTTCTCTATAGATAAACACAGGAAAAAAAAGGGTCAAAACTTGGTTATTTTGATAGCCTTTACATTTTGCTCTTCCCCTGCCTGGTTAGGCTTCATCTAGGACTGGACAGTTTTAATCTGTTGTTCTATCTTCAGTATAGCACTCCATGCTAGGGGTTGAAACTCCTTTGTAGCTGGTGCTAGAATGGCCTTAAATTTGAAATCCGATTAGGAAGAGTTAAGCTGATCAGGTGAAGTAGCCCAGGCTTGAAAAAAAAACCAAAACAACAACAGCAAAAGCAGCACAAAACAAGAGAGAATATGGGGAAGGTGATAGAACACAGCAAAAAAAAAATGCATCTGGGCAGAATAAAGAAATAAACAGATGCTATTGAAGAAATAAAAAGTACGTCCAAATAATTGTCCAGAAATGATTCAGAGCAGCCCTGTGGAGAAGGACTTGGGGGTGTTGGTTGATGAGAAAATGAACATGAGCCAGCTTCAGTGTGTGCTCACAGCCGAGAAAGCCAACTGTATCCCAGGCTGCATCAAGAGGAGCATGACCAGCAGGTCGAAGGAGGTGATCCTGCCCCTCTGCTCTGCTCTTGTGAGACCTCACCTGGAGTATTGTGTGCAGTTCTGGTGTCCTCAACATAAAAAGGGCATGGAACTGTTGGAACAAGTCCAGAGGAGGGCCACCAGGATGATCAGGGAGCAGGAGCACCTCCTGTACAAAGATAGGCTGAGTAAGTTTGGTCTGTTCAGCCTGGAGAAGAGAAGGCTGCGTGGAGACCTCATAGCAGCCTTCCAGTATCTGAAGGGGGCCTTTAGGGATGCTGGGGAGGGACTCTTCATTAGGGACTGTAGTGACAGGACAAGGGGTAACGGGTTAAAACTTAAACAGGGGAAGTTTAGATTGGATATAAGAAGGAAATTCTTTCCTGTTAGGGTGGTGAGGCACTGGAATGGGTTGCCCAGGGAGGCTGTGAATGCTCCATCCCTGGCAGTGTTCAAGGCCAGGTTGGACAGAGCCTTGGGTGATATGGTTTAGTGTGAGGTGTCCCTGCCCACGGCAGGGGTGTTGGAACTAGATGATCTTAAGGTCCTTTCCAACCCTAACCATTCTGCGATTCTATAATTCTATGAGTTATCAGGCATAAAAAAGGAATAAACAATTCAGCATTCCACAAGAATGATTTACTATAATATGAGCACAGTTTTATCATAACAATGTTTCTCCATAACAATGTAGAAAAAGCAGAAGTATTTTCTACATTTCTGCTGTTTTGAAGAATATGCAGAGGAGAGATAATCATGGGTTAGAGAGAAAAATGTCATTCCTTGTCATCAGTGACTGGGAGAGAAATGTATTTTCACAACAGCAATGAGGTAAAAAAGAAATAGTTTGTATGTGAGCACTAGAACTGCTCAAATTGTTTCCTGACCTACTGTTGGCTTTAAATAAACTGGCATTTGAAGAGTCCTGAGAAGACATTGGGAAAAAAAAAAAAATCCAACATGTCAGAGCAGACAGCACTGAGGCAGGGACTGGTCAAGGAAAAGGTTGGTCAGCAAGAGCCAGCCTTGTTCCCATTTGGCTCAGAGCAATCTAGTTTTGGCAGTGAAAAAGAACAGCTCCACCCGATCAACAGTGATCCCTGTACCTGAACACACTCATCTGGGTATCTGCCCTCAATAGAAACCTGTGCCAGGTACAACAAACCCTTCTAAAGCAGACAAACTTCTGCATGGAGGTGACAAAGTGTCCTGGGTGGTGCACACACTAACCCCCTGGCCATGAGGGGTTACATCTTCTGTGAGAACGATCTTGGGATCCCAGACACATTGCCTGCCTGCTTCGTCATCACCTTTGCAGCTCACCACAGGAGCTAATCTACCTCAGTGACATCCTGTGCACTGGAGAACTGCTCTCTGAAGTACCCGATCACTGAAGATGCAAAGAGCATCTTTCACCAGCCTTCAGTCTCCAGGATGTTCGGTGCATTTTGGTACAGCTCAGAATTTCACCTCAAGTTCTCTTTCTGCTTAGCTGGTTTGATGATTTCTTTAGTTATTTGTACAGACAACTGCACACTCATTTCTTCTACAGCCCCTGCTAAGTCTCTGTCTTCTTCCTTATCCTTCTGACAGGTTTACTCACTTCTGCTTTTGCCCTGTGATTCTGAGCGTCTCTGAACTTGTTTTTAATTGAAGTCCTCCAGGAGCCTGGTTTCTGCCCAGCATTGAGCTAAGTTCACTGTTCACAGGTTTAGTGAACTTCTGGGGAGCATGGAGGTTCCCATACTGCTGGATTTGTGCTGAGCCCTGGTGCTAGCTGACAGTTCAAGTTATTCATCAAATGTTTCTCTTCAAACAGAAGTTGCAAAATCTTTCTGTGCTTCCTCCAGCTTTGTAGCTGACATGTCAAAAAAGTCACAACAAAAACCCCATGGTATTTTCAAATATCTAACGGTATTTGTTAATAACATTGTCAATAACCCCCTGCTGAACATATGATTTCTGGTGTTCTTCTGGGAGATTCCATAGATGAAAGTTGTTTGTGTGGGTTTTTTTGTTGTGGGGTTGGTTGTTTTTGGTGCTTTTTTGTTTGTTTGTTTGTTTGTTGCTATTGTTGTTGTTCTTTTGCTTTTCTTTTTAATACAGGACCAGTAAATCAAGTGAGGGCAAAAGTCTTTGGATTTTTGTGATGGCACTAACAAATATCCTCTACAAGCCTTCCATCAGTGGTGCTGTCAACCCAGCTGTGGTGTAAGTTGCTATGCTGGAAAACAGGCTTTCACCCAAAGCTCTGAGATTGTAGAGCCCTTATGAAAGAGAGGGATAGATCCAATAATCAAGATGTGGGCCACATTTCCCTGTGTTTCTTTGGCATGAGCTTGTTCTGACCAAATCCTCATGTTCTTCTGCATCACCTCTGAGGTCCTTGCAGGACTCACCTATGGATCCCTGCTTTGCACCAGCAGCTCTGGGGTTCAGGAAACCCATCCTGCCTGCTCTCAGAGCTGCAGCAAGTATGGCTCCTGCCATCCCCTTCAGCTCTGGACCAGGTCAATCCAGGACAGGATCAGCTGCTGAACCAGTACACAGTAATGCATGCTCGTAGTCACAACAACCACCTCAGTGCACAGAACTGCCAGAAGCATTCCTATGTTGCCCAGCAAATCTAAGTGTGAATTGACATAAGGTGGTAAGATTTAATTTAATTCAAGAAATTTGAAATGTCTTTGAAAAGGAAAAACGTCCCAAATGTTTCTTGGACTCTCATGCCCCACACAGCCATGGCCATTAAGACTGTAGGTATGCTCCAACAGGGCACCTGCCCACTAGAAGCAGCATGGCCCCCAGGAATGTGCTCAGCACACCACGTTCATTCCTCTTAACAGGTCTCTGCTGCTCCAGCATCCCTAAAACAGCACCCTACTGACCTGTCCTGGGTTTAGGTCACATCCTCTGTAACTTGGGCATTGCTTTTGGTTCCTGGAGTTTGCAGTGCACAGCTTTCATCCTGCTCCAAATACATGCAAGACAAGCTCTCAGCTCGCCCTTACTCCTGCCAGTGATGGATGATCTGGGCAACCTTTGCTGCTACTGACTTAATGTGCAAGTCCTGATCACAAGTGATCTCAGATACCAGCCTCCATCCACAGCAAACACTAGGTACATTCACAGTAGAAAGGCATGTCCTGCAAGGTCTGCTGCAAACACATTCTATGCTGCTGCCCTTGCGTTGGGTGCTCACCCCTGAACCAGACCCTCATGTGACGCTGGAAAGCAGGATGGCCTCACTCAGGATTCCCAACAGCCCTCAACCAGAGCTCATTGATGGGTGAGGGGTTCCCATGTCATTATAGTCTCCCTCAGTCTTCAGCCATCCTGCCTTCTCCTGATGTGAGGAAAGTCAATTGAAAGATGGAGACAGGAACACTTGTTAACTACGAGTCAATTTATCAGTCGTGATCTTATGCTGACAGTTTTGAGTCTGAAAAGCAATTTTAGTTTCAATCAAAAAGAATAGAATAACAAGTTTAACATTTGAAAAACTCATTACTGGAAACTTTATTAAACTTAAGGCTAGCAAGCCTGAATTAGTGCTTGAAAGAGCAAATTTTTTTTGTTAAAATAATGCAAATCTAGAAAGATTTATAGTATCTAAACCAATTATGATAGTGAAATGCAGCATTAGGTATTCCACACTCTTCCCCCCACATTTCTTCTTTTTCACATACCAGTGCGTCTAAGTGCAATGTCATTACCACAGAGCATTTAGCAAAGATTCTGTTATGGGGATTGAATTAAGCATGCTCTGGGAGGCTTCCTCCCTCAGATGACACTAGCTGTCTGTTTTTCCTACACCCCAAAAGTACAACAAAAATCTTACATTTCTGATGACTTACATTTCAGGG